CATGGTTGTCAGATATGCGGTCTTTCCGATAGATGTTATAGTTATCTGGGAAGATTTCGCTGCTCTCAATATCTGGGTATAACCAGGACTCATTACCGAGAATTATATCTGGTTTATATTGATCGACGATTGCAGCAATATCAGCGACTTTGTTCTTGATGCTTTGACAATTTACGGCAAGGCAAGTCAATTTGCATTTTGTAACTTTCGACCGGCGTTTTTGTTTGTTATTGTAATTCACATGGACATTATGCGAAGGCGTACTATCTGCGATGGAAGCTTCCTGTAGTGGCTCAAAAGAGTTTGATGAAACCAGGGAATCAAGAGAGTCGTCAAAAAATGAGTCCGAAAACTTAGGAAACCCGCATTTTCCATGTGAGGGAAGTATTGGCAAGAATTTCATACATTGGCAAGTCGACATTACTGCACTTGGTATGGTACCGAACATCACACATGTCGCATTGTGATCAAACACAATTATTGTAAACCTTTTAATATGCTTTTTTTGGGTGTGTTTGGATTTGCTTCGTTTTTTCATTGACACCTACATTAATTAATTACCGATTTTGTGGCTACCTTTGTAATTTGAAGTTGCTTTCTTCATAAGACTTTTGTCTCATGTTCAAAACAAAGACCTTCTTATGATCAGCTTACCATTTTTACAAACACCTATTTCATCAGCTCCTGTTCTTCTAGTTCTTTTAAATAAAAAAAACACTGCTGTAACTTAATTATTTTTTTCCAGCAATGTACTAAAAATGAAAGACTTTCAGATCACTTCAATTTGTTTTCCTGCATGAGAGACCTCTGCAAGCATGGAATTAAAATCTTTCCTTAGAGATTGAGGGGACTTCAATATTTTCATTCCGTGACAGACATGCCATTGGTAATTCCCTGGAGAAATCCAAGACCTTACTCTTATTGGTCAGCACTTTCACCGGAAGATCGCATTACACATCTCCATTCCTAAAACCACTCACGATCAGTTGAATGAAAGGCAAAAATATTCAAACGTCTTCTGCATCCAGTTTGGATTCAAAAAGGCTGTATGGCGTTTTTTGCTGCTTTGGAAGCAGAGAGTGAAAAAGTGTTAGCAAAAAAATAACTGTGCTTTAACCAGCTCTCAACGAATGGGAAACAGATTGATGTAGTGGACAGAAAACATTCCGCGGCACTTGCAAGATTCAAAGATTGTTTGCCCTGCCTAGTAATAATGCACAGCAACAACTGAAACACAAACGGAATGGCTCTTTTCATGAGGAAATGTAACACATTGTGGATCATGAAGGAAAGACGATCGCGGAGAGTGATTTCAAATTAAGCTTATTACAACGAACCAAACAAAAGAATTATTATAAACTGTCAAACTAGGAACCGTTGCTACAATGGAACCATTCCGCGTTTCATCTCTTATAATTGCTGACAAAAATCGTTTGTTTGTTTTTTGAGCTCGCTTATCGTTAAGTCGGTATTTTGACGTGCTAGTTGTACATTAAATCGAGCGACTATGACCAAGTGTTAACAAGCCAGATCAGACTGTTTGCACGCAGATCAAATTTTGTTCTGTTAATATTTTTACACACTGTAACAAGGGCACGTGAAAAATAAAGTAACGTTAAGTTCTTAATTGACTGTATTTACTGTTTTCATTTATTGAAAGTGTCCTCGTGTTTCATGTTTGCATTGCTTTTGTTACTTAAGTGACTAAACGGACTAAACCAGCCATTAGTGGTTTGACTTTGAAGCTTTTTGTGGCGCAAATCGTTCCTTTGCTTCAGGAATTTTCTTGAGTTCAAGTATGTCTAAAAAAGATGAATTTTCATCTTTAATATATATGAAGTTATAAAAATTATGTTCCGATAGTATTATAATCCTAATGTATAGAAGTTAAATGGCTGCTGTCTAAAGTGTAGATTTTGTGCGAGGGAGTATCACAACATTGGCACCTGGTAAAATAGACTGTTCACAGTCCTCTATTTTTCCGTGAGATCGTCAAGATTGAGCGCTTTGCGTTTCGGGCTGCATCTTGCATGAGTGTCAAAACTACTTAGGGGGCAGGGGGCGGTTTGGGAGGAAGCAAGAAAAATAGAGGGACTGTAATATAAACATCACTGCAGCTCGCGTTCAGGAGGCGTGACAGGAATTTCACGCCATTTACCATTCATTAATTAAGAAACTCTGCTGGCAATGAAAAACATTCCAGACACATTTGATATCGATTAAGTGTGTTTATAAAAATCTCCTTTTGAAACAGTGATTTCATAATGTTTCTAGGCCATTCCTACAAATAAAATCGGCAAACAGGCACAAGAGAAACATTTTCCTAATCGAATCACTAAGCATGCTTGCTTGACCATAGACTAAAACGGTTAAAACGTCCCGATAAAAAGCCAGGCATTTCTGACAGGTCATCTTTTTTGCGTTGGCATTGCGTGAAATTTCAATTTGTTTGGCAGAAACTGTGTTACAACATTCCCACGGCCAGGCTGCTTCCAAAACATGTTGGCTTACGTGATTCATCCGCAAAATACCAAAAATCGTTCGTGTATTTGCGCAGGTTGTACCTTATGGTATGAAAGCGTGCGACTTGTCAATGACTTGTCAGTATTGGCAACTTAAACTAAACCCGTTGTCAACGCAAATTGACATCTCTTGTCTAATGACCAATCAAATGCCTGCGTTGCTGGTACAAAGTGCTCCGTGAACGCAAACTGCAGTGACGTTATTACAGTCCCTCTATTTTTCTCGCCCACCTCCCCCTAGAGCTATAATCCCCGATGCCCGCCCCCTCGGTACATTTGAAAACCAAGATGGCCATCATTAAAAGACGCGCTATATCTCAATGATCTCATGAAAAAATAGGGGAACTGTGAACAGTCTACTGGTAAAAAAACAGCCTTCTTAACTGCCAATTAACAAGTTGTAACAGGGCTGTGACGCATGAAACCTGTACCAATGCTGTTAATGGCATGCCAGTGTAAAAACAGCCTTGCTAACTGTGGCAATTCACGAGCTGTGGCAGGGATGTCCATCACAGGGTGCAAACAAGGTTGTAATATGGATGTTACGGCGTGTCTACTAAGAAATTCTGAGTTAAACATGATAGGGCTGTTCCAAGGCTGCTACAGTGGAGAAACAGCCTTGCTAACTGCGCCAAATGACGAGCTGTAACAGGGTTGTTACAGGTTAGTTTCACCACCCTGTTCCAGTGATACTACAGAGCTCTTAAAGGGTAGAAATTTTGTTAAGGGATACAGCACGCTGCAAGAAACAAACGATTTGGCTTGCTAAATTTACCAAAACAAAGCCAAGTGTGTCCTTCTTTGTTGTAGCAATGCGCATATCCGTGATCTAAGACATGCTAAGCATGTCGTGAGCGTGCCTTCACCTTTAGCATGAAAATCCTGTGGAGGGTCAGATTTGTCTCGAAGCGCAATGCACACAAAAATTAAGTTATGAATACCGAAGATCAGTTCCAGAGAAGGAAAATTAATTCATTTGAGGACCTTTTCATAACAGAGACATTTTGTTAACTTAGGAAAGTTACAAAGAAGAGAATGAGAATACACGTGTCTGTTTACTTTTTCCCACCGTCAATTTTTTCCCAGGGTGGACGACCAAAACAATACCATTTTCAAGAAAAAGCAGTCAGTTTTGGCAGCCTTCAGGCTAACTCTTCACAGATTTTTACACCAAAAGTGCAAAGTTTGTTTCATCATCATGGTGAGTGAGAAAGTCAGCGCATATCATTTGTCAAATTTATCAGGACCAATCAAGTAACAAGCAAATCTAAACTACAACATCATATTCTCTCTCTTTTCTCAGGCCATTTCTGTGAAACTCGTGGGTCTTGTTAAAACTTTTAATAAGCTTGCTCGTTCAAAGACTGTTAAACGTATGCAGATTGTCTTTCAATTTTATTGGATAACCTAAGGGAGCGCGTCCGAATATCGGTAGGTAACCCGATCATGGGAACCGACCCGATTAATTTTCCGATTGATCAGAATCGGTACCGGTCTATAGGCACCAGTTGCCCTTTCCGATTACGATAAAAACTTTGCAGATTCAATCGGAGCCAGTTGACATTCCGATGTTCACATGTGTCATCGTCATATTATTTTATCTGATATATAAAATGAAGCATGTCACAAAACCAAATGATGAAAGAGTCGTTTCACTCCAAAGTAATTTCTATCGACTGTACCTTTTTCCTACTCCATAACAAATAACAATATTGTATGTTCCTGTATGTTGTGTTTCGAGTTTGTTGATTTGATGCGTGCCTACACGTGATTTTCGACATTTTGTAGAGGTATTTCCTTCAGTCGATCACAAACACCACACTGCTCCATAACACTTATTCTATGAAAATTAAAAGGAGAAAAACACGCAAAACAGCACTGTTCTTCGTTGATACTTAGCAAACAAAACAGCTTACTGAGTAGAGTGTTCTTCACTCGATACTTTCTAACAATGCAATCCAAAAACACAACCGGAACTCACTTTCTCGAAACAAAACTGGATGCATAGACTTATTACAAGTAGACCTCGATGGGTTTCCTAGCGAGCGGAGTGAAAGCAAAACCATACATAATATAAAACCATGGGATAAACTTTTACGAAAATTTGCGTCTTGCATTCAACGATCCTAAACGCAAGGTGCAATGCGATCTGAGGCAAAAAATACTGACCAATTAGATTGCGGCCTCAGATTGTCTCCAGGGAATTAGCAAAAAGAACTGAAAGATTCCCACACTCGCGAGTCACGGAAGACACGGAACGAAGTTTCATACAGGAGCTACCAAAGAGAGAATGGCTTAGCGACTTTGCTGTTCTGTGAGCTTGTGCATGGTGCCACGTGAAATTGCTTTCCACTCTCAGCACTTAGGAAAATTTGCGCTTGACTCTAGGTGGTTGACTTTTTGCCAAAAATCAGAACCTTTTTTACTGCGGTGTTCAACTAAAGCAAACTGTGCATACCATCCGGTAAGTTTGACTCAATTTAAAAGCGGAAAGAGAATCGAGAAAGAGAAAACCAGTTGAACGCCTCCATCAGTCACTTTTTTTGAGTTCATATGCAACCAATAAACAACTTGCAGCTTGATTCTCAGACGATGTCCTCTTCTCTCCTGTGGCACTTTAAGCAGTTAAAGTACACAACATGGTAACAACATTTGCATTTTGGTAGTGGATGTTCTGACTTCTTTCTATTTTTTTCGCTTAAAGTCCTAAACTGTTTATTCCTCCAAAGATTCCTATAATCATGCGTTTTGGGTTTCGGTTAGCATGGGCCCAAGCTATTTTAAAATTATCATTTTGAGATCGTACACTTGCAATGTACATTGCGGCGTCTTTCACTCAAAAGATGCTCTTCAGCGTTGTTCAATGACCTGCTGTTTCTTCTCGTGCCCATTTTGATACACAAATTTAATATCTCTGGTCATACTCTGTCATAGGTATACAAATACAAATACAAATACAAACAAATGTTTGAAACTGTGACGTTAAATTTCGGTTCAAACAAGACACATTTATAAGAAAGATAAGGTCAATAATAAGAAGAAACACTTTATTTGCTGGTTTACAACATTTAAATTGGAAATTTAACGTGTTTGTGCATCGAAAAATAACATTCACGCTTTTGCTTTTGCTTCTGTGACGGGTTATTTGAGCAGCCAGATATTTTTGATGACTTTTGTTAATTGGCCCGATAAAGAATTGAGACCCCTTGCCGATTCCGTTTCATTCGGTACCGATAACATCGGGTCCGACCTTCAATGGAATCGGAAAAAATCAGTGCCCAATTGATTGGCATCGGTGTGACCCGATGCCGATATTTGGACGCGTTCCCTAACCGTTTCAACATTTTTCTCCAAAACATTTAATGCATGCAATTTTTTAAATGTGTAGGTTAACTATTTAAACGGTTTTGTCTTACTCGTTAAACGGATTCAGGCACACGTGCGTATGCACAAAAATTTTACGCACGTAAAAACAATAGAGGCAACATGGAAGGTCATGTGTAAATGTAAAAGTTGAACCTCACTCCAGAGGGCATTGTGGGTGTTCTGAAGTGGTTCGAGGGGTGTTACGGGGTGTAATGGAATGTTCTGGTGTGTTTCAGGAGTGTTCTAGGATATTCCAGGCCTGTTCCTGGTTTATACACACCTGTTAAATCCTATGTGAAATTGCCTTGCACGAGCTATGTGTAGATTTGATGCATCTGCGTTATGCAAATCACTTTTCCTGATGGGGTGTCTGTAAAGTTTGGAACAGGTCGGAACAGCCTTGGAACACCCTCAGAACACCCTGGAATATCCCTGGATATCCCTGGAGTGCTTCTGATTAGCTGAAAATTTGCTTCATCTAATCAGAAGCACTGCCCAGATCTGGGTGGTGATGCGTCATCAGTATGGAATTTCTCCGCTCATTGCTCAGACGTCATTTCATGGGGAAACAAGTGGAGGCATTGTGAAATGTCCATATGTCTAGTGTATGGCTATCCATAACCTGGTTAGCTGGTTTAAACCGAACTATGATCACATCAAATAAGAGGGGAATCTTAGTTTCTAGAAATTCCTATAGGGGAAAAAAAAAAACTAAGACCTCATTGGGAAATTAAAAAAAAAATTGAACATAAGACAAGTTCTTCCTATCCAAGCCCTATCATCATCAGAGTCAGCATAATGGCTTAGTAATGTTTAAGATTTAATAGACCTTGTCAAGGTTTTCCACGCCATCTTGAGTAGGCAATGCGTGAGAAATTACAACGTTGTATGAGAATCTTATGTCAAATAATTTCCATAGAACGGCTGTTCTGAAAAAATATGAATTATAAACTACAGCTTCACTCCTAAGGATTCTCCTGAAAAAAAATTTTAGGGCGTTACATGCGTTAGAAGACCTCAAACCACTTAATAAAATTTCTATACATTTGTCTGTAAGGAAGTCCCGGGAAAAATTACCAACAAATATATAGAAAATCTAATGCAAGCCTCTGGAGAAATTTAAGCACCAGTACGTCTGAAAATTTGTAGCTTTAGTTTACAATTCAATTTTTTTTTTTTTTTCAGAACAGCCGTCTTACGGAAGTCATTCGACATTAGATACTCATACAGAGATGGCGTCGAAAACCGTGACAAGGTCTATAATGCGTACACACCTTGTTATTCAGATACATCTCCCAAAATTGGAAATAAAGTAATAAGTGATTGTGAATAAGACGCCGGCCATTCTAAAATTTAGCGTACTTTACCTTCTGCTCCGTAAAGTTCTGTTGACAAGAAGAACTTCAAGAAGACAAGTCTCGTAGAGGTTCTGACCACCTAAGCACAAGTGTCTTGAAATAGCTTGAAAACGACTTCTTATTCTTCCTAGGGGATAAATATTAGAGAGTATAGCGAAGAGTAACACCAAAAAAACTTTGTTTTGAGTGATTATACAATTCTGAATGTTCATACATTTACCCATACCAAGTGTTGCCATAATTCACCTTAATGGTCAGGATGACGGTCAGGATAGCTTTCGTTGGCACTTCGTGTAAGACCACTTTGGCTCCTTGTCTAGGACAAAATTGAGTGATCGTTCATGACGTGGTAACTTGTTGAAGCGGTAACCAAGCCGCTTTTTATTCGTGCTTCGCTCGGAGCAGTCCCGAAGATTCTAAAATGTCTAGAGAAAAAAGGAGATATTACAGTGATGATAACGGTAAGTTATTGCTACATAATCTATTTAATTGCACTATAGAACAAGAAGTGGTAAGGTGGTAAGTCATGTCTTGATCTGCCTATTGCAATTCGCGCACATGCACGCGACCTTCAAGTCTCCTAATTCGACCTAATTGTCTAATCTAGCAGATGGAAGGGCTCGAAAGCGGAGGAGAACCTCAGACGCAGTGGATATTGAGGACCGTCTGGAATCTCTCATCACGCGCGTTGGAGAAAAGGTAAACTACAGCGTAAATTAAGGCTTCACGGCTAAACTTCAGAAATATTTACCCGGCCACTTATTTCAGCTGTATTGTTTCACCTCATTTGCATCGAGTGGTGTTATCGTGCGATTTTTAATGCCAGTTTCGACAATGCAAGTCAAGTCAAGTCATGTCAATTTTTATTTATATTCACACAGACTAAAAATTAATACAAATTAGTGCTTTAAAATGTAAAATCGAGAGATTGTGAAGGAAAAGAAATTTTCAATTGTAGGTTCATTGTGAAGAGTTTGGGACACCTAAATAGTTCGTGGAACTAACCGAGTAGGTGACCCAAACAAGAATATGAGTAGAAGGATTATAGATACAACATAGTTGTTTTAGATAAAAAGTATCACTTCATTAATTAAATAGTAGTTAAAGATAATATGATCATAAAACATTAAAAATCAATAATAGTATTATAACCATCAATCACAGAGTTCTTGATATATTGACAAAAACTGGAAAACTGCTTGATTTTCTTAACATCAATTGTCAAAGAATTCCAAAGTTTTGGACTAGTGTAACTGAGAGAACAAATGCCGAATGCAAGTGGCTGGGTTTTTTGAAGTTGCTTTTCTCGCACTGCACATGTGCATACTTCATGTGTATACCTAAAAAGATGTTAGCGCAAAAGTATCGCCAAGCTAAAAAGGGTCAGCAGTGAGAATAAACAGAAACAAGCCCGAGGTTAAAAATACGATGAAAGGAAAAAAACTGGAAATTTAATTTAAAAATGCACTCTTCCTCGCCAGGATTTGAACCTGCACCCCAACTTCCTTGTAGCAAGAGTAGAGAGTGAGTTACTCAAAACTAAACAAAGGCTGTTCTGGTTTGATGAGTCTCGCAGGAACCGAGTATCAAGGGTCAAGGCACAACAATCAAGAATCTAGTCTTGATTCTCAACTCAATACTCAATTCTTGCGAATTGACTGAGCCATTAACCCTTAGTGACGGCCACTGAGTAGCAACAAAACCTGCATTTTTCATCAATTCCTCTTCTTTGGATTGGTTTTCAGCTATTTAGCATAGGAATGGCTAAAATGAGTTTTGCAACTAATCAGATTTAATCTTGCAGCTCTTTAGTTTTTTGCATGTGTGCGCAAGCCAAAATTTGGACTTGGATCTTTCTCTCTCTCTCTCTCTTAATTTTCCTTTGCCTTTTTTCTTTATAAGCAGTCTTGTTGCCCACCTTATCGTCTTTCTTTGCATGGAATTTTGACTGGCTAACAATTTAGGAAAAGAACAGTTTTAATCTTCAAAGAGTAGTAAAAGAGTAGTTAAAGAGTGAAATTGGCAGTGAATTTTTCCCTAAAATGTTACTTTTTTTTTCAGTGTAACTCTGTTAGGACTTGTCAAAATGAGGTATCGGTGGAAAGATCTATCTTAGCTAACATTGTTGTTTACCAACTTATTAGCGTAAACTGAAAGCTAAATTGGTCCAGGAAGGAAAATTAATATTGGTCAGTGGTGGATCCAGGGGAGGGGCCCAGGGGGCCCCCCCCCCCTTATGTTTAGACCAAGCTGGGACCCTAAAATTTTGTTTTGAGACCACCACGCTCCCCCCTTACCTGAAGGTCTGGATCCACCACTGTTGATTGTTCCGTATGGAACAAAAATAACTAAACCAGTCGTCAAAGGGTTAACATTACACATGGCAGTTGCTTCTTTTTCAATTTACAAACCTGTTTCATGCTTAATTTAAAAAATTTGTTAAAGTTTCCAAATGCCCAATATTATGCTGCAAAATCCAACAGCAAAGGGTTAACTTTCATTTTGACTCCCCAGCCACGCAGTCATGTCCCCATGAGCGAAGCTAACCAGCTTTTTGTTTCCCTGATTAAACCGTAAAATGCTGCTCGAGATGCTGGTACAAAGCAACTATGACACAATGATCTTGAAATCGTCTGGGTAACAGTGTCACGTTGCCCAATGAAGATGTAACTAAAATGGTCTAACTCAACGAACATTTTGCTTCTCTTATTTCTGGTAGAGCTGACAGGAATTCAAGGCCACTTCACTTATTTGCCATTGTTTGACTTGGTCATTGCTGATCATCATTTTAAACTAACAACTGTTATGTGACAGATAGACCCTGAATTTCTATCAACTTTATCAGAAATACATGTAAGGGGAAGTCAAAGGGAAGCAGATAACAAGATACTTTTTATCAAACATAATTATTTGCGGGGGGCCTGGGACCAAAATTTCCTTGTTTTTCATTTCAACGGTACTGACTGAGTGGGGAACAGCCTAGTCCCTAGGGGTTCTCGGTTCAGCCAATCCTGGACTCTACTGTGAGCTGTGACATCACCGAGACAGACTCACTGAGAATGCCCACCAAATATTGCTAGATCAAATATGGCGGCATTTGCTGCCAGGTTACGGCAACTTCAGCAAGTAGCTGTAGCAGGGCTCGAAAGTAAAAAAATCTTCAGGTCGCCTTTTGGCAACCAACTGGAGAAATATAGTCGGCAAATGCAAATTTTTAGTCACCAGTTTGTATAATGTAAATGACGCAGCTCATTGTCAGGGCTTCTGATATTTCACGCCGTCGCAGAGCCGTGAAATTCACAAAAACACTCAAAATACCGCAAAATTCGGTAGAAATCCTATCAAATACATGTCTGTACAACATACCTGAAACTTTTCTCACCTATTGGGGCTATTTACTTGCTGTAAACTTGTAAATTTATCTTGAAACTTGGTCACTGAAACGTCCCGAAACTACCAGGCGTAGATTAGGTTGCAAAAAACTGGGCACTAGCCATGATGTCAAAGGCTTTGCTCTTGGTTCAGTTCTGGAGCGTATTGTTGTTGAAAGAGCAAATGATGACTGCCATTAGAAAAACATTAAAAACACTGGTCTGGTCAGCGCAAAACCAATCAATCTCTAACGAAGTTTTCCCTGAAAATAACCACAAAATCTGCTTTTTTTGACCGATTGATTTTCGGCTAAGTTTGCCCTGGAAATTCCTGTAAAATTGGTTGATTTTTCTGCGAATTTGCCCCTAAAAATCCCATGCCACCATCCCACCTATCAGAAGCCCTGCATAGTATGGTGTGATCCATCAGATTTGAAAATATCGTGGAAGGAAGTCGGTATAAATTTGGAGGTAAACTGGCTTTCTTTATGCGATTTGGCACATTTTCTATGATGAAAGAAAAGCAGGATAAGATGAAATGTTTGTTTTAACTTTATGCACCTATCAATGTAATGCTGGCAGGGGGGGGGGAGGCAGGGCATGGGGTGGGGATTTGACTTTTTCCAAAAATTTGCAATCAAATTCCCTGCCCACGGGAAAATCATTCCAGTCAAATGCAACCAAATTTCCCCACCCCAGGCTGCACATTGCTGTCAATCCCAAGGCAGAACCCAAGAACGGCACAATAAAAATATGTCCAAATAAAACTCTATAATCTTGTATAAAGGTTGCTGCATCACCAAAGATACATGTTCCTTTTACAGCTGCAATTATACATTTTAACCATAATCCGTGTTACACTGCGTAGAATACACAAACCTTTAGAGAAAGTCCACATTTTGTTAGCTTAAATATACCGTTCTTAGTAAAGGGTACAAAGAAAGTCAGTTTTATAAGTTTACAGTGATTGTAGCGAATTAGCCATACACTAATCAATTGCACTTGCAAAAATCAACTTGGTTTCTCTTTACTTTAGTTTACTTTGATACCACAGTATTTTACGAGGTTCAATTGATCAAAAACGCGCTAAAACAAACAAAATTTGAAGACAAAACAGTGAAATCTACTCAGCCTAATGACTTCCTGATCTTTTCAAACCGTACGGCGCATGCGTAGAAGCAGGAAACACATGTTCGGTCTCAGTCTTTTCCGTCCGAGTCGGCAGTCAAATATCTCTACGTCGGGCGAAGAAAGATTCAAATATCCCCTCCCCTGGGAGAACAAGATCAGTCAAATGCCCTACCCCAAGGCCAACAGAGACGATCAAATCCCCACCCCATGCACTGCTTCCCCCCTGGCCGGCTTCACATTGATAGCTGCATTACTCTTTTAATTTAAATCTAAATCATACAGAAATCTGGTCGCCACTTTGGCGACTAAACTATAATTTTTAGTCGCCAAGGAGAAAATGTTAATCGCATTGGCAACCGTATCAGTAGCAATTTCGAGCCCTGTGTGCCAGTTGCTTATTCCTTTAAATGAAATTTTTTTGATAAAGTTGTATCTGTCAGTTTACCTTGATGTTGAAGCTTACGATTTTTTTTTTTTCCAAATGGCGGGTAGCCATCTCCACGGCCATAATGTTGATAGAATTGTCATTTCAGTGTCAATACGATCGTGAACACGTTAAACTTTCAACCACAAAATTAAGGGAAAACGAAAAGGAGAATAAAAACTCTAGATTCTGAAATTGTTACATT